TCCATGGGCCAACGCTCTAACAGCTGAGCCAAACCGGCCAGGGTTGATATGACTTTTTTCATTCACCGTTCTACTAAAGGATCACAAATGGACACCTAATGTCTATTATTTCCTTGCCCTTTTTCAACTTTTTCTCAACGACCTATCATTCTGCAAACCAGTGGTTCCCAATCTCATCTACACAGTGAAAGCATTTGAAGAGCTCCAAAAATGCAACCTAGAAGTTCATCAAATTTTGTTATTCAAGAGGGGTTTTTTTTGCTTTGCTTTTTGTTAATCCTCACCAGAGGATATTTTTTCTACTGAGTCTTAGAGAAAGTGGAAGGAAGGGAGGAAAGGATAGAAAGAATCATCAGTGTGAGACAGACACATAGATTGCTTGCCTCCTGCAAGCACCCTGGCAGAGAGATCAAATCTGCAACCCAGGTATGTGCCTTGACCAGAAATTGAACCCTCAACCCTTTGGTGTGCAGGATGATGCTCTAACTACTGAGCAACACCAGCCAGGGCTGTTCTTCGAGCATTTTTAGAACTTGGCTGGGCAGCTCAGTTGGTTAGAGTATCATCCCAATATACCAAGGTTGTTGAGTTTGATCTCTAGCCAGGGCACAAGAATCAACCAATGAATGCATATATAAGTGGAACAATAAATCTCTAAAATCAATAAATAAAACAATTTTTAAAGAAAGTTTTTATAGAGCTTAGTCTGCAGCCTATCCCCCACCCCAAGATCAGTGGGTACAACCGGAAGTTTCCATCCTCTAAAGACTTAGTTTTTCTGGTGATCAGCCCCATCCTGAGGCTTTCTAGGGCCCCCAACCTAAGTTACCTCACTACCATGAATTCAGGTGTGCTCAAAAAGGGGTTCCTTATGAATGACAAAAGACACTCCTATCACTCAGGGAATTCAAAGTGTTTTAGGAATTTTATGCCAGGATCCAAGAACAAAGAATGAATATATTTCCTATTATACCACAATTATAAAAAATATATATAAACCTTGACCCTTATCTCACTTCACACACCAAAAATTAATTCAAGATGTACAAACCAGAACTATAAAGCTTTGAGAGAAAAATACATGAGACTATCTTTACAATCTTGAAGTAGAAAGGCAAAGAATTTTTAGAGAATACAAAAAGTACCAAGCATTAAAAAATGTTTTTTGATAAACTGGATTTCGTGAAAATTTAAAACTTCAGCTCATTAAAAGGCAAGTAACAGCCTGGGAAAAATATTCCCAATGCATATATCTGACAATGAACTCTTAGCCAAAATATATTAAAACTCTAGCAATTCAATTACAAGAAGAAAAATTAGGCAATAAAAAAGTGGGTAAAAGACTTGAACAGACACTTCACAAAAGAAGATACAGCAACATCAAATATGCACATAAAGGGGTCTAGACATTACTAATCATCAGGGAAGTTCAAATTAAAACCATAAAAAATAACCATTTTACACCACTATGTTGACAAAGATGTGAAGCAACTGGAACTCTTATGAACACATGTACAAGTATTTAAAGCAGCATTATTCATAATAGCCAAAAAGTGAAGACTACCCAAATGTTCATCAACAAAAGAATAAACAAACAATATGTGGTTATATTCATACAATGGAATATTATTCAGCAATAAAAAGGGCTCAGCTACTGATATATGCAACAACAAGGATGACTTTCAAAAGCACTAGGCTGAGAGTGAACAAGATACGAAAGGCAACATTCCATTTGTATAAAGTATAAGAACATGGAATACTCATTTTTGGTAATAAAAATCACAACATGATGGCCAACCAGAGCCCAAGAATAGAACAGAGCCCAAGGAAACTCTCCCTCTCTTTTTTTAATTGATTGATGTTAGAGAGAGCGAGCGAGAGAGAGCGAAAGAGAAACATCTATTTGTTTTCCCACCTACATGCATTCATTGGTTGCTTCTTGTATGTGCCCTGACCAGAGATCAAATCTGCAAGCTTGGGGTATCAGCACTATGCTCTAATCAACTGATCTACCTGGCCAGGGCCCAGTGAAACTTTCTAGGGTAGCAAAAATGTTCTCTATCTTGATTGGGAGTGAGGTTATATAAGTATATACATCTATCAAAAATCACTGAACTATACATATAAGATCTATTGTGTGTATAAGTTTAACTCAATAAAATGTTGTAAGGGAGAGAAAAAAACACTTTAAACCAGACGTCCAGTTCAAGATGGTAAACTGACCACAAGTACTTATCTTTTCCTCCCAAAACAGTAACTGGGAAAGGACATGAAAGGAATTTCCAAACACTGTCCCCTCTAACATACACTGCTTTACAGAACATTTATCCATCACAAAGGATGTTAAACTTACCAAATGCTTGTCTGCTTTCTAAAGCAAAACAAAACACCCCTTAATTAGTAGCTCAGATGATCAGCATGGTCACAGTGTAATCTGAAAATATCAGCTTTTCAGTTCCCATTAAAATGCATAGATGATAGAAGTGACCTTACAAGACTGTAAGCTATATATGCAGTCTAATATCTTAATATCCTAGAGGATGTTTTAGGCATCCTCTAAGTATACCAACAAAATAAGTTATGGATCCATTTCTCACCCCATCTTTTCATCCTGATATCTTGTAGTATGTTTGCTGAATATGTATCTTTAGTATCAGAATAATTTGTGACTTTTACACAATTTATGTTCAGACAGCCAAGTCTCTAAATCTCCAGTAGATCCTCTTCCAGACCATCAAAATCCCTAAATATTTTTTAAAATATGTTTTTTATTTATCTCTTAGAGAGGGGGGAGGAAGAGACATCAATCAGCTACCTCTGCACACCCCCTACTGGGGACTGAGCCTGTAACCCAGGCATGTGCCCTGGCTGGGAATCAGGCCAGGACTGGCAAATTCCCTAAATATTTTTAAGCTGAGCATTTGATACAGGTTGAGGAGAAGAATGAATAAAATCAGATGACTGAAGTGTTGAGACCATGGCTGAATTGGGAAAACAAAATTATATAATGCTGGCAATTAACACAATTATTCTATATTCTCTAACAGTATTCAGCAGTAGATAAAAGTGGCTGGGTTATGGCAGTTCACTGACTGAAAATGTGGAATTGAGATCCTGCCCCTCCTCTCTTACCCAACACTCCACAAAAACAGTAATAGTAATATACTCTCGTTCCTTCAAATGTTTGATCCTTTCACCTCTTTTCTCAACACATTTTCTTCATCTATATAAGCAGGTACTAAATATAAATTTGAACTTCAGTCACAACCTTTTTGCAGCCTAATTAATTTGTACTATCAGAGTTGTGTGTGTTTTTTTTAATAAAAGAAAGTTAATTTAGAAAGTTACAGCGGCGAAAGAAAGGCCCTTGAAGCTTTAGAGAGAGAAAGGTAAAGGTAACATGACTGGTGGGGAAACAAGATGGGGAGAGAAAAGGCACAGGTCCCTGGAGGAAGGGCTGGCTGTACTATCAGGCTTAATCTCACTAATTCTGTGGGAAACTCCTTTGCCCCTCTCCTGAGGGCATGCTTTCTCTCTTCCACCTTCAAGGGCTCACTTGCCAAGATGTTTTGGTCTCCTGTAGGAATTTGAGATTTAAAAGGGTCCCTGAGATTTTAAAAAGGACACAGAGAGGTAGAAAGGAGAGAATTTGCGTACATCTTGCTGGGGAGAGACTATGGGAATATGAGGACCCTGTATTCCTGAGCTGGAAGCTTGGCCTGAATCTCTGGATCTCTCTCTCTCTCTCTCGCTCTTATTTTTAATCCTCACCCAAGGATGTCTTTTTCGTTGATTTTTTTTTTTCATTTTTAAGAGAGAGAGGAGAAAAATACATCAATGTGAAGAAATAACATCAATCCATTGACCCCGTACACACTCCTACCAGAGATCATAACCCAACCAGGGAATCAAACCTGCAACCTTTTGGTGAAAAGAAAGATGCTCCAACAAACTGAACCACTCAGCCAGGGCTTTTTTTTTTTTAGGAGAGTTTTATTCACTCATTGATCCAATATTTACAGGGGGTCAAGGGGTCAGGCTGTGCTCAGTGCAGAAGTTAACTGCCATGCCTACTGGCCGTCCCCCACTCCCTCTCCTCTCCTAGATCACTATGTACAGATAACAGGCCTCCTTGGATCTTCTTCAAAGCCATCGGGTAGAGACTATGGGGCTATATTTGGGGGGGCCAAGCTCCAGAGGCAGTGCTGGGCCCATTACCCCTGGTATCAGGCCCTCTGGGAACATGGGGGCTCCAAGTGGTTGTCTTGGTCCTGCAGTGCCCATCCTGAGTACCCTGCAGAGGCTGAGGAAGCGAGTGGCAGGAGAGTGTGGTGCCAGTCTCCTGCAAGCAGCCCTATCTCTGCTACCCCTACGAGGAGGGGAACATGGTAATACTGAGGGGCTGGGCAGGGGCTCCCCTAAGCCCCAAGCTCCAGGGACAGAGCCCAGGAACCCAAGGCAGGCCCACTGCCAGGGCCACAACACTGACGGCAAAGAGCCCCAGAGCCTTGCCATGGACAGGAGACTTGACGTGCCCGACTGGAGCCAGGGAGTTTACAAGCCCCCGAGCAGCTCAAACACTCCTCTCTGCTCAAGCCATGAGCCCCTGCTGGGATACCCCACTCCCAATCCAGCCCAAAAGCCAGGTCCGAGTTTGGTGCTCTCCCAGGAGGAATGAAGAGCCAACCTGGCTTCCTCACAAGAGACAATTGGCAGCTGGGGCTAGAGCAGCAGGCTCATGCCCACTCAAGCCCCACCAGGATGAGAGCTATTAGGAGAGAATGCAGTCATAAAGCTGGCTATGTCAACACAGTGGTGGTAAGATGGGCCAGAACCCAGAAAAACAGATGTCTCTGTAGGTAAAATATATATTCTGCTGCCCAGGCAGAAAGGCCAAGTCCTACAGCTCCACAGCCGGCTGTGGAGGAAGCCGCAGCACCTCGCTGTGCCCAAGCTCCCAAACTCCAGCTGCTGCTTCCTGAGCACTATGGGCTTGACCTGCCCTACCAGGCCCAGGGGTGCAATGCAGGGAATCCTGGCCTGGCTTGCATTTCCAGGGTCTGGGCTATCTGGCTGGAAATATTCAGTAATACTGGGAAGGGGACTGTGGGGCAGGGAAGGGGCCCTGGTGAGGGCCACAAGGCAAGAGCAGGCTGCAGAGATGGGGCCAGCAGTCCTCATTGGCGCTTGGCTTTGTAGGAACGTGAGCGTTTCCGCCGATCAGGCTTCCGCTGTTTGTGGAGCCGGCCAATGCTGACCCCTTGACGCCACCGCACGAGATGTTCTGCTCCACCAGGTTGGCCAGCATGCCTTCCTGAGCTAGCATGGAGATGAATGTGCAGATGAACTCGTCATAGTTGTGGGTCCTTATCTGGTCGTCAATCTTGAACTTCTTTCTCTTCTCCACTTCTTCCTTGAGGCAGGCCTCATAGTTGGCAATCTCGGCCTCTACACACTTCAACAGTGCCAGCAGCTCCTTGGGTGAGTACTTCTCTCCATTCAAGGGCTCACCAGGCCTGGCCAGCCCAGACTTCTCTCTGCCATCTACAGCTTCCACCACCTCCTTCTCCTCTGGGCTGCTGGACCCCTGGCTGCCCTGGGTTGGTCTGATGGAGGGCGAGGAACCCTTCCCACCCTCTGTCAGTGTCAGGGGACTCAGCACACCATCCTCAGCCAAGTGCAGCAAACCTGTGCTGATTATAGGACCCAGGTCACGTACAGCACGATTGTAGCGTATACAGTCAACACGCAGCAGACTATCATCCTCTCCAAAAAGCACCTTGGAGATGTGGGAGGTGACAGGGCTGGAGGACCGTGTGGGGTTGGCCAAGCAGATGGGCGAGCACAGCGGTAAGTTGAAAGCACTGCCGATCTCGGACGCTGTGTCTGTGCTCTCGTTGCTGGGGATGGGTGAGGGCTGCGAGTGCGTGGGCACCGCCACAGCTGGACTCCCAGCACCGCTGCTGGTCTTGATGGACAGGGGAATCGAGATGTCTTTCTGGGACTCTGAGCTTCTCGGCCAAAACGTTGATTGTGTTGGGCTGCAGCACCGACAACTGCCCATCCCCGGAGCCACTCAATGACCCTGACTTCCCTGGCCCCTTTCACTTGTACCTGATGGCGGAGTTGGTGCTCTGCACATCATCCTCCTCATCATCCTCACAGTCATCCTCGTCGTCTGAGTACTGCTGGGGTGGGCGGACTGAAACTCGGCTGCGGCCCACACCTGCTGCCAGGTCTTCCTCCTCCTGCATGGGGGACTTGGCATAGTTGTGATTGTCCAGAAAAGCTGGCAGCCGCTGGACAATGGGAGTGGGGTTGCAGGGAACACCACTGAGGTTGCTCCCTGAAGGTTTCACCACCAGCTTGGGTTTGCTGGGAGGACTGTGGGTCAAGGGTTGTGGGCACGAACCAGCCACCTCCTCCACACCGTCTGTGTGAATGCTGTCAGAGGTCACTGGGGCCCTGCTTGCCTCCAGGGCCACAGGGGACTTGCCACTGGCTGGTTTAGACTCCTCAGGCAGCTGTGACTCTTGAGACTTGTGGGTCTGAATCAGCTCTGGTTGTGTTACCCTGATCAACTGCTGCAGGGCCTCCAGTACTGTCTGACGGTTCACCTTCAGCAGATGCAGCCTAGCCTCATACTTGATCCTGCAGTCAGGCACCACTGCCATCAGGTTGAAGCGGATGTCATGGTAGGGCTCCCCTGCAGTGGCGAGGCCAATACTCCATGATGACCCCCCGAGCTTTGTCTGTCCACTCTTCATCCTCCCCCCAGGGCCCATGGTCAATGGGGTAGACCTTGAGCCCATCCAGCTCAAAAAGCCGGCCTGTGATAGGCACATAACTGACAAAGTGGAATGCCTCCATGGTCCGCACTGCGCTAAGGCCGTTCTGCTTCTCTGGGAGGTGGCGTGGCTCAGGCCTGGCATGGCTATTATGGGCCTTGGCCAACTCCGGGGCATTGCCAATCGCATATCCTTTGCTCTCAGGGCTGAAGCCTTTGGTGAAGTCCTTCATTCGACTCAGAGTGGGCCCCAGGTCCACATTGCTGCAGTTCAAGAGCACGCTTAGCAGGGCATGAGTGGCGCAAGAATTGGGGATGAGCTGGTGGGCAAAGAACATATTATTCACAATATCGTCATCAATCACAGATGTATCATCCACCAAGGTAGAGACCTTGCGACGGGACCGGTGCTCTTCGATCCATTTGAACAGGAAAATGAATCCATACACGGGGCCCTGGCACTTGCTCTGCAGGTCATAGATCTCCTCCACTTGCACCCCTTTGACACCAAAATCTTCCTCCAGGAGGGTGAAGAGGCCAGGGTCGCTCTCCAGCTCCAGCCAGCCCTTATTCATCTTCCCGCAGGGCGGCCCCTCAGCGCCATGTCCAGGCCCTCCCTACCCACAGCCGCGAGCCCCTGACGCCCCCGGGGCCCCTAGCCCCACAGACCGACAACGGGCTCCATCGCGTCACCCGCCTTTTTTTTAAATTGGATCTCTGTATCCCTTAAAATTTACTTGAATGTAAGTCCTTGGTCACTGTGGAAAGCTGAAGTATTTCTACCTTCTGTGACCATCTATAAAGGCTTGGGAGGAATTCTGAATCATTTCCTGTTGAGAATAGTAACACTAACATAAGAGGTGGAAAATTCATATTTAAAATATTCTCACAGCAAAATCAGAATTTTCCTTTTGGTGTTAACAAATGTCTATTGACTCTAACTTTTTACTATAAACTAAATAAAGATTGCCTTATAATTTCCTAAAAAATATAAAAGAGAGGCTGTTAACCCACACAAATCAAGGTCAAGGTCAACAAGGAACTGGCAGAGAAAGGGTGTAGTTGAGAATAAAACTGAAATAACCTACTCTGGGAACTGAGTATAAAAGAGGAGGCGATGCAGCCAAGAGACTTAAATGCACTAGGAAAATAGGATGATTCTGAGTCCAGAGGTAAAAGAGCACATTTATCAGAACTCAAGCAGAAGAAGAAAGACAAGATGTTACAATGAAAAAAATAGAGTTTCAGAGTTCAAAACATATTTCATCTACTTACGTTCACAACTGGAAATATATATATATATATATATATGATTAGAATTGTCAACCTATAGCATGGTTACTGATTCAAAGTAAAATTTGAATAAGAGGCAATTGCTGTAAATTGGTGGAGAAAATCCAAATTACTTATTATATTTCCCTAGAATATAATTAACAAAAAATTCACAGCTACTAAGAAAAAAATAAAATTTATTCCTATAAATAACACATAGACCATGTTGTATTTTTAGATTAGCTAATCAACTGTTCTCTTCCTTAAGTATAAATTAAAGTTGATTGGCCACATATTATATACACAAATATATAGCTATATGTACTCAGAGTAAAACAAAATTTTATTTTGTCCTGAAGCATTATATATAATTTTTTTCTACATCTGAGTAATTTCTTCACTGCCCTTATAACTCATATTGACTATAATGAGATCTAAAGAAGGCAGATTACTTATAAAATAGATTTCCCTATCTGACTGCAGACTCAACAGAGCAATAGAACAATATAAAATAAGACATTGGATTTTTAGTACTCATAAATAATGGGAAATATTAAATCATGTAACAGTGAAATTTGGTCTTGGCACTACATAACTCATTATACATTCAGTTTATCAACTGGATTCTTTTGCAAACATCTGAAACCTAAATGCAAATTTTAACAGATCTCCAATCAGCAACTGCATTACCTACAGTGTGCCAATAATAAAATGATACTTAATGCAATTTTCTTACCTGTCTCAACAGTTTCTCAATGGCTGACATTACCATAAGGCCTCTCCAAACAACTGGTGCAGTCTCTTCAACCAGGAAGCCCATAGACATACTACAACAGTAAACCAAAATACAACTAATTTACATAAATTAATCAATAGTATTCTGAAAGGCAATATAAAGTTTTAAAAAATATGCTCACCAAGCAACACCATAATTCAAAAGAGGCCTCATTAGGTTGCCTGAAATTAAAAAAAAAAATTCTCTCTTTTAGAAGTCATTATACATAAACATACTGACTTGTTTTCTCACCAATAAATGTCAAATTAAAAATAGAGACTATTCACACTGCTGCTCTTTTAACCTCCAACTAATTCATCACAATCTATAACCATTTAAACATTTACCAAGCTTAAAACTAATACTCCCAATAGACACAAATCTAAAAATATGTGAGATATTATTTTAAGAACAATTCAGCTACCATTTTCAAATGTTTTTAAAAATAGTCTCAATAAGTAATGTCCACCAATTTTGTTCATATATATAGATATATAAATTACATACACATGATTATCTAGGATCTATATACATGAACATTTGCACACATACATGCACACACAAATGCATATAATAAATTTTCCCTATTTATTTTTTTCTTTACTTGAAGAATCTGAAAAGTATACAAACCCAAAACTGTAGAAAAACTCTATTTTGTACCTCAACGTAATAAAATCCATAAATGAAAAACCCACAGTAAGTATCACAATCAATGGTAAAAGACAACGTTTTTCCTCTAAGATCAAGGAAAAGACAAAGATGCCCCCCTTCTGCCACTTTTATTCAACATAATACTGAAAGTTATAGTCAGAGAAATTAAGCAAGAAAAATAAATAGATGGGATCCAAACTGAAAAGGAAGAAGTCAAATTTTCTGTTTGCAGATGATATAATCTTATATATAGAAAACCCTGAAAGTTCCACCAAAAAAAAAAACTATTAAAGCTAATAAGTGAATTCAGCAAAGTAACAGGATACAAAGTCAACACACAAAAATCAGTTGCATTTTTATATACTAATAATGAACAATCTGAAATGAAAATTATGGAAACAACTCCATTTATAACAGCATCAAAAAAATCAAATACTAAAGAATTAACATGACCAAAGAAGTAAAAATTCTTTGAAATGTACAATGAAAACTATAAAACATTGTTGAAAAAATTAAAGACATAACAAAAGGAAACATATATATCATGTCCATCGACTGGAATACTTAATATTGTTAAGATGTCAATGCTTGGCCAAGAGACATATGAAGAAATGCTCCACATCACTAATCATCAGAGTGATGCAAATTAAAACAACAATGAGGTATCACTTCACACCTGTCAGGATGGCCACCATCAACAAATCATCAAACAAGTGTCGGCGAGGGTGTGGAGAAAAGGAGACTCTAGTACACTGCTGGTGGGAACGCAGACTGGTGCAGCCACTATGGAAAACAATATGGTGTTACCTCAAAAAATTAAAAATTGAACTTCCATTTGACCCAGTGATCCTGCTTCTAGGAATATACCCTAAGAAGCCTGAAACACCAATCAGGAAGAATATATGTACCCCTATGTTCATAGCAGCACTATTTACAATAGCTAAGATCTGGAAACAGCCCAAATGTCCATCAGGAGACAAATAGATAAAAAAGCTGTGGTACATATACACAATGGAGTACTATGCAGCGGTAAGAAAGAAAGATCTCTTATCCTTTGAGACCACATGGAGGGACCTGGAAAGTATTATCCTAAGTGAAAGAAGCCAAGCAGAAAAAGACAAATACCACATGATCTCACTTATATATGGAATATAATGAATAGAACAGTCTGAGGAATAGGGTAGACCCAGAAACACATAAGTAGAGTACAGACTGACAACCCTCAGAAGAGGGGGTGGTGGGGAGTGAGAAGACATAAACCACAGAACTTATATGCATGTACGCATAACCAATGGACATGGACAACAAAGCCGGGGACCGGGCGGGGTATGGGGAGGAGGGTGTCAATGGGGTAAAAAAAGGGGAAATATCTGTAACAAAAATAAAATTAAAAAAAAAAAAAGATGTCAATGCTACTCAAAGTAATCTACATATTCAATTCAATCTCTATAAAAATCCCAATGACATTTTTTACAGGAAAAAAAAAAGCGATTCAAACTGGTAAATCAATTTTGGAAAAAGAAGAACAAAGCTGGAAGACTCAAACTTACTGAGTTTAAAACTTACTACAAAGCTACAGTAATCAAAACGGTGTGGTACTAGCATAAAGGCAGACATATAGAACAATGGAATAGAATAGAAACCTCAGAAATAAACCCAGCATACAGGGTGAGGCAAAAGTAGTTGTAAGTACTTGAAACACAAAGTTTACTCTTGCATTATTACTTATTAATTATTGTATTATTTTCCATACAAACAACTGTAAATCTACTTTGTCCTACCTTGTATATAATCAAAGAATTATTGACTTGGGGGAGTGTAGGGGGCAAGATAATTCAATATGGAAAGGAGGTCTTTTCAAATGGTTCTGAGAAAACTTGATCCACATGCAAAAAAATGAAGTACTATACACACACAAAAAATGAATTCAAAATGGATCAAAGACCTAAGTATAAGAGCTAAAATTATACAACTCTTAGAAGAAAACATAGGGCAAAAGCTTCATTCATTGTGTTTGGCAATGATTTCTTGGCTATGACACCAAAGGCTCAGGCAGCAAAAGAAACAACAGACAAACTGGACTTTATGAAAAATTTTAAATGTTGTATATTGAAAGACAATATCACTAGAGTGAAAAGGCAAGCCACAGAGTAGGAGAAAATATTTTCTAATCATATATCTTGTAAGAATAAATAGAGAACTCCTAAAACAACAAACAAACACACAAATTCAAAAATGGGCAAAGGAAGTGAATAGACGTTTCTCCACAGATATACAAATGACCAAAAAGCACATGAAAAAAATGTTTAACATCACTGATCATTAGGGGAAATGTGAATCAACATTACAAGATACTACCTCACACCTATTAGGATGGCTACCATCAAAACAACAACAACAGAAAATAACTGGTGAGGTGAGAAAAAGGAGAAATTGGAACCCTTGTCAATTGTGGCTCCACTTTTATGAAGTACTCAAAGGTAGTCAAAATCATACAAAGGGAAAGTAGAATGAGGAGTTGCCAAGGACAGGGAGAGGTGGCAATGGGGAAATATTGTTTAATGGGTACGAAGTTTCAGTTTCACAAGATAAAAAGAACTGTGTAGATCAATAGTGGTGATAGTTGCAAAACATTCTGAATGTATTTAATACCACTGAACTGTATACTTAAAACTGTTTAAGACAATACATTTTATGATATGAGTATTTCATGACAATAAAACAAAATGTGAAACACAAGACTAAACCAATGGAACAGAATCAAGAGCTCAGAAATAAAACCAAACATATGCCGTCAACTTATATTTGACAAGGGAGCCAAGAAATACTCAGTGGAGAAAGGATAGTCTCTTCAATAAATGCTGCTGGGATAATTGGATATTCACATTTAAAAGAATGAAATTGGACCCATATCTTACACCACTCACACAAATTAACTCAAAATGGATTAAAGACTAAAATGTAAAACCCAAAACCATGAAAACGACATAGGAATAAAGCTCGTTGACATGGGTCTTGGTAATGATTTTTTGGATATGACAGTTAAAGCATACACAACAAAATAAAAAATAAACACGTGGGACTACATCAAATTAAAAAGCTTATACACAGAGGACTTCCAGTCAAGATGGCGGCGTAGGTAAACGCGGTATCCCGTCCTCCCACCACCACATCAAAGTTACAACTAAACTACAGAAAAACCATCATTCAAAACTGCCTGAAATCAAGCTGAATGGAATCTTACAACTATGAAATTAAAGCAGCAGCCACATCCAGACTGGTAGGAGGGGCGGAGGCTGCGGGCTGGTCCCACACCCATGTGTGGCGGATAAAAATCAGGAGGACACCTGGGCTGGGAAGGTCCTCCCTGAGGGCTGAGGGGTCCCCGTCCCACTCCAGGCGCCCCGCTCAGGGTTCCAGTGCCAGGAAGAGAAGTTCCCAAAACTTCGGGCTGGAAAAACCAGGGGGAACTGAGGCTCAGGGAAGCTGACGCGGCTGGAGCCCCAGGCAGCTCCTTAAAGGGCCCGCGCACGGACTGAACAGACGTACTCCCTCTAAGCTTAGAGGGGAGGCAGCTCGAGGTCCACCAGAGACACGCAGAAAAGAACTGAGCTGTTTGGCATTGGAGCGAGGGCTGGAAGGAGGCTTTCTCTGGGACAGACTAGCTGTCAGAGGCCTTTGTTCCCTTGGTGAGCCCTTCCCTGGGGTGGCAGACAGCCTCCATATCTGGGACTCCAGCAACCTGGCTCTCACTGGTAGCCCCGCCCTGGTGATTCCCTGAGGCCCCGCCCCACCCAACTTTCAGGCCCACCCAAGCTGTTGCCCGTTGCTTAACCATAGGATTGGCCTGTCTTGGATCCTGCTTCAGGTTTTCCTAAATTCTTTCAAACAAGCAGCATCTGGTCTCAGATAGCCCCATATCACTCGTTAAGTAACACAAAGAAACAAACACAGGGAGGCAGCCAAAATGAGAGAATAAAAGAACAGAAGAAAAGAACTAAGCGAAATGGAGATAAGCAACCTAACAGATGCTGAGTTCAAAATACTGCTTAAAAGGATGCTCAATGAACTTAGTGAGGGCCTCAAGAGCATAAAAAAGGACCAGTCAGAAATGATGGATGCATAGTCAGAAATGAAGGAGGCGTTAACTGAAATAAGGAATAATTTACACAGATTCAATAGTACAGTACGTAAATCCAAGGAGCAAACCATCGAATTGGAATATAAGGAAGCAAAAAATGCCCAATCAGAACAGCAAAAAAAAAAAAGTATCCAAAAAAATGAGGATGGTGTAAGGAGCCTCTGGAACAACTTCAAGCGTGCCAACATTCGCATCTTGGGGGTGCCAGAAGGAGAAGAGAGAGAACAAGAAATTGAAAACCTGTTTGAAACAATAATGGCAGAAAACTTCCCTAACTTGGTGAAGGAAACAGACATACAAGTCCAGGAAGCACAGAGAGTCCCAAACAAGATGAACCCCAACAGGCCCACACCAAGACACATCATCATCAAAATGCAAAAGGTTCAAGAC